CCACAAGGCCACAGGGCCCGATGGCATTCCGGGTGAGGTCTGCCACTTTGCGCCAGAGCAATGCGCACAGGCCACATTTGCCTCTATGTGGAAGCTTATTCTATTTGGCCACGAGTCGCTCATGCACAAGGGAGGCCTACTTGTGCAAGCCTATAAGGGCAAGGGAGCTACCACATCTTGCAGCTCGTACAGGTCTTTGCTGATTTCAAGCCACTTTGGTAAATCAGTACATCGAACACTACGTTCTGCCCAGGCGTCCATTTTCGAGTCCTTCTTGCAAGCGCAACAGATCGGAGGACGCAGAGCCATGCCCGTCACGTACGGGGTCCATCTAGCCCGGGCGTATTTACGCCAAGCCAAGGCTCAGAGCAGATCATGTGCAATTGCCTTTTTAGATCTGAAGGAAGCATTCTATCGGATCTTCAGGCCCATCTGCATGAAGAGCACTGTCACCGACGAGGACCTGGCCAAGCTGATGAGCCGGCTCAACATGCCGCTGGACGCCTTGCAGACACTCAAGATGATTTTGGAAGGCCCCACGGCTCTAGAACAAGCCCAACTACCTGAGCTGGAGAGACGAAGTCTCAAGGCAGTGCACCTTCAGACGCACTTCTGGATGCATAGACAGAAGGACGTCGTGCAAACAGCCCACGGTACTCGGCCAGGGGACCCATTTGCGGACATTGTGTTCAGCTACGTTTGGGCAGTGGTTTTACGCAAGCTTCAGTCATTCATGAAAGACCATGATCTGATTAGCACATTCCCACGATGGCCGCATCTTCAGCTCTTTGCAGACTCCAATCGAGAACCCAGTGGGACCGAGGACTTCATGGGGCCGACATGGATGGATGACTTAGCAGTCTGCGTTGAGAGCTCAACCGCTGCAGGCATTGTCACCAACATGGGCCTGGTCATGAGCAAGCTGCTGGAGCTCTGCCTTGAGCACTGCATGACGCCCAATCTCAACAAAAACAAGACAGAGGTCCTCTTCTCATTCAGAGGGGCGAACTCACGCCATCATAAGAGGCTTTACTATGGGCCGCAAGCCACAGGGAGTCTCCCAGTCATCTCAGAGTACGGAGTCCATGAGGTCCCGCTCACCGCCAGCTATTGCCACCTAGGGGGTATCCTGCATCATTCGACAGACCAGAAGGATGAGATCAAGAAGAGAGTTGGAATTGCGTTTGCTGCAATCAATCATCACAGCAAGTTGCTCTTCCGCAATTGGAGACTGCCGCTGCAGAAACGGACCCAACTATTTGAGTCGCTAGTCCTGAGCAAGCTGCTTTATGGCGCTGAGACATGGGTAGCATCGGACAATGCCACAGTTGACCACTTCCATGCGGCTGTCATCAAGATGTATCGCAGACTGCTGCCCCTCCCGGCGGATCAACACCTCACGGATGACGCAATCTTAGCAGAAGTCAGCATGCCAAGTCCGATTGAACTTGTGCGACGGGCCAGACTTCGGTATGTGGCCACGCTATTTCACTGTGGACATCGACGTGAATGGGGCCTCCTTGCACAAGATGCTGCATGGACAGCCTTGGTTGAGGATGACATGGTCTGGGTATGGAGCCAAGTCTGGCACAGTTCCAACCTGCCGGACCCAAGAGTAGACTGGGGTACTTGGCAAGACTTGATCGTGCATCATCGCTCTTATTGGAGACGCATAGTACGCAGAGCTTGCGAACATGCAGTCCAGCAACGTCGGAAGCTATGGCTGGTCCGCCGTTTTCATTTGGAAATGACAGGCATTTTTCGAGATCTCTACGACTATGATCCCCACAGCAGTGCATGCACGGGATGGTCGAGAGACTGAGGTGTATGGATGCTTGCGCTGTCGGAAACAATGCCGCAATCGTGCAGGAGAAGCGGCTCATATGTTCCGTGTCCACCAGCAGCTGGCCAAACGCCGCTTTCTGAGCGATTCCACTGTATGCCCAGCATGCCTCAAGGAGTATCACACGATGAAGAAGCTGACCGCCCACCTCTATTATGCAAAGACTTGCAGGCAATTGCTGCTGAGCCGCAACTACGCATGTAGCCCCACCCCGGGAGCTGGCTCGCAACAAGATCGAGAGCTGAGCGAACAGCATGATCGTCTCTTGCCTCCCCTCCAGACGGAAGGTCCACGTCAACAACAGCCACGTCTACGGGAAGAGCAGGCCGTTGACAATGAGCTTCATATGTTTTTAATGGAGACCTTCATTGATGCGGAGGACTTCGCCAGTGCTTTGCAGGCCATCAAGAACGAGGCGCAGCAGCGGCCTATTTCCTGGAGTATGTGGACAAGCACTCTGCGCTTCTTCATGGAGACGCTTGCAGATGCGGACGTTGAGAGGTGGAGCATCACGGTCCACGAAGTGCGTGATCGACTGGCAGAGATGTTAGCACCAGAGACTTGGGGTCTTCGGACCCAAACAGCGTCTGACAACACTGCCTTAGATGAGCTGGAGCAAGAGTGTAGAGACGTCGCTGTGACTGAGTGGACGAGGTTTGCTGACAGCCCAAGGCCCTTTGGACGCCATCGCATTCTGTTGCACATGTTCTCCGGCCGTCGTCGTGTCGGGGATGTACAATACTTCCTGGACAAGATGGAGGCGCCTGTGGAGTACGTGCTCCACGTTGTGAGCATGGATTTGGTGGTTGATGCTGTTTGGGGCGACGCAATGGCGCCGGGAACGCGCAACTACTGGCTCCAGGCGGCGAAGGCTGGCTACATTGTGGCATTCCTCGCCGGTCCCCCATGCGAGACTTGGTCCAAGGCCCGAGGACGAGAGATTGCTTCTGGGCGCGGACCGAGAATAGTCAGAGATGCTTCGAGCCTTTGGGGATTGCCAAGCCTGGCTTTGAAGGAAGTCGTGCAGGTGATCACCGGAAATGAGCTGCTGACTTTCACGCTACTGATGGCAGGCTATGTCGTTTGTACTGGTGGCTCAGGGATCGTTGAACATCCGGCAGAACCGGAAGCCCAGCAGGCGGCGTCCATCTGGAAATTGCCGGTCATGCTCGCGTTACTGCAAGCCCCAGGCGTACATCGAGTACGACTCAGCCAAGGCCTTTTCGGAGCGCCGACAGCCAAACCGACGGAGCTGATGACCATCAACCTCCCCAAGCTGCCTTTCTACCTCCGAAAGTGGCTCACCCGCTCCGAGCTTCCTCGTGGACAAGCCATTGGACTCACTGAAGAGGGTTTTTTTCGTACAGCACTCCTAAAGGAGTACCCGCCGGCCCTTTGCGGGGCGTTTGCGGAAGCCTTCCGCGACCGGCTTGATTCGCTGGCCGTGAAGGACACCGAAAAGCCACCCGAGGCCGACATTGAAATGTGGCAGGCAATGACTGTGACCACGTACAGCGGTCATATCGGCGCCGACTTTGCCGGGTGAAGACTGAGCAGGTGTCGAATTCAAAAGACCAGCGCATGGCCGCAGCGTACTGCAGCAATGGGCCGATGTGAAAAATATATATATAACGATATATATATATATATAACGATATAAATATATATATATATATATAACGATATAAATATATATATATATATAAGTATGTTCCATGCAATGAACATGACCACGGTCGTTCAATCCAGTTTTTCACCGCTCCCAACTCTGTGGACTTCCACGGAGTTCCTGTGGCCGCCAGCCTCCTGCGCTGTCTTTTGCGCTGCCATGTACTCGTTCCGACGGGTGGTCTTCGCAATAAAGCGATTCAGCACGTGCCACATGGTCCAGCACCACCTGGAGTAGCGCAGAAAAACTCAGCAAACTTACCAGAGATGGCTAGGTATGAAAAAACCATCCACAATACATCCACAATACAAGATTGATTTTGGATGATTTGGGGTTTAAACATGCTTAAACCACAATTATGTCTTTACATGTTACATCAAGTTCTAATGTGCGTTGCATGAACTGTGTACATGTACATGAATATATATATATATATATATGACTATTAATTTCGAGAAATTGATATGCATCTATCGCACAAACTGTGAATGAGTATCTGACATATATCTATCACTATCATATACAAGAAGAAATCAATATGACGCAATCGTCAGAGTTGAAGTCGCACCAGATAATCTGATTCCCCGACAAGTTCTTGAACGGAAGTCCTAGTACTCTATTAGCCATTCAAGTGCGCAACAAACGTTGTAAAAGGATGTAAAAGGGTGGTCTACACAAGACATACGGTGAATCTATTGAACCCTCCGCAAGTGCTGAGATTTTGGTTCTGGTCAAGGCGCATCGAAGTTCCAAAAACTTTCACGCCTCAGCACACGGCAGAAGTATTCTGCAAAATGTTGTGGCAACTTTGAACTTGTTTTTTTCATGTTTATTGTTTAAAAACCTAAGAGGTTCAACACTTTGAAGAATTGCAGTAACTACAGTACACTTTGCACCATCCATCTTCACTAGACGCTTGCTGGGTTTGATTTCTTGCAGCTGGGCTGGTGGTTTCAAAGCGACTGAGCTCCCAGGCCGAAATAATAGTTGAAAAATGGGAAGGTCTTGAAAATGAAAAGACCAGTGCCGAAGATCAGCCAATGGTCGCGGATCAAGCCCTCTCTCTTCACCTGGAGAAACTTGGACCAAAGACCCTACTGAACATGCCGCAGCTTTTGTACCACAACGAACACAAGTCTCATGTTACGAATATTGACAGGTTCAAGTGCTTTCCGAATGGAACGAGAAGGCGTGCAGCATCTGACTTTTCTGAAACGATATGTTCAAACTCTGACAGAGTTGGGCAGTGTTCAAAACCTATATGGATATATATATATATATATATATGTATATATATATATAATATATATATATAATATTTGTATAACAACCCCATATAATGATTAAATATAATTAATCAACGTGGGTTTTGAACGTTGCTGAGCTTGGAATGCTGGGTCCCAACGCGCGGAGCCGGTACCCTCTGGGTCAGCTTGCTTTGAAGCCCGGTCTTGAAATCGCCAGCCCTATCCTTTGTTTAGACTTGGCTCAGCGTTGCCCTTTGGCAAAACCTTAGTAGCGCGAGAAAAGCATCCCGCCGGATCCTTCACCGTCCCTAATAGATAGAGACCGTGGCTGTTTCGTCATAGCAAAATGGTGATTTTGATGTTCTGTAAGGCTACATAGATCTACATAGATCTACATAGATATCTTGTCTTGTTTTGGTTTCGGGGCAAAATCGCACCAAGCTGGCAAAGCACCTCGATTGTGCAAGTTAACAGGAACGTTACTGCCCCACCCCACCCCAACCCCAACCCTCATTTAGCAGCCCTCTGCAAAAACATGTCAAAAAAGATGGTCCAAGATGTTCCAACAAAGGAAGCCGGCCTGGAAATGAGAACCCCCCCCAAAAAAGTATCTGATTGGTCATGTACTACATACATACATACATACATACATACATACATACATACATACATACATACATACATACATACATAGCATTGCATGACATTGCACTACAGAACAGTGCTGTACATCGCATTTCCTTACCAAACCAGGTGTGCAAATTTATACAATGTGTCTGTGCATGTGCATGTGTATATATATATATATGAATGTGTATGTGTGTATGTGTATGTAGATGTATATTCTGCACAAACAGATAGATAGATAGATAGATAGATAGATAGGTAGATAGGTAGATAGGTAGATAGGTAGATAGGTAGGTAGATATAGATATAGATATAGATATGGATATAGATATAGATATGGATATAGATATAGATATAGATATAGGGATAGAGATAGAGATAGAGATAGATAGATATAGATATAGATATAGATATAGAAATAGAAATAGACATATATAGAGATAGAGATAGAGATATAGATATAGATATAGATATTAGATAATAGATATAGATATTAGCTAATAGATATAGATATAGATAGAGATAGATATAGATATAGATAGAGATAGATAGATAGATAGATAAATAGATAGATAGATAGATAGATAGATGGAGAGTCAAATAGATAGTCAATTAGATAGTCAATTAGATAGTCAATTGTAATAGTCAATTAGATTGTCAATTAGATTGTCAATTAGATAGTCAAATATAATAGTCAATTAGATAGTCAGTTAGATAGTCAAATATAATAGTCAATTAGATAGTCAATTAGATAGTCAAATATAATAGTCAATTAGATTGTCAATTATAATAGTCAATTAGATAGTCAGTTAGATGATTAATTGGATACTCAGTTAGATCATTAATTAGATAGTCAGTTTGATAGTCACTTAGATAGTCAATTCATGTCAATTCGATAGTCAATGACATAGTCGATTAGATAGTCAGTTTGATAGATAGATAGATAGATAGGTAGATAGTTAGGTAGAACGTACATGCGTAGGTAGAACCCCCCAACAAGAACATCTTTGGATCTGGCCCAAAAAATCCCGCATCCTTCAAGTCTCCAGCCCCCCCACCCATAGCTCTGCAACCGCGTTCTTCCAACCACGACTCCACCTGCATCGCTTTCGCTTGGTGACTGGACATTTCACCAAAAAAATATTCGTCCAATTTGTAGAGTTGGCCCTACAACAAACAGAATTGAACTGGTTTCCCTTGCTTTGCAAGTGGTGATTGACCCTGTAAGTCTCTGGCTTAGGTCATCCAGTGTATTCTCGGGCTCTAATTCGGTCCCATAGCTATGCCTCAAAATGATCAAAACTTACAGCCGCCCACTCAGTGGCCTTGATTGGGACCCGAAGAAACTGTAACCAGGAAACCCAATGACAAAGCCCATTGTCCAAAGTTTATAAAAAGCAGTGAAACGGTAAATGAGTCATTAGTTGTTATTGGGTGTATAATATGTTATACATTGATCATGGCTAGTCTTCGACACGCTCCAAAACGAGAATAGTTTAGCTGGGTGGTATATTCATCTACACTTAGAGCAAAGATTAAAGGATAGAACTACCCTGTAGTAAGGTTTGCCCACTTAAATCTGCCGTTGCTGGTTACATCCCATTCTTGTTGATTTTTGATGATCAATACCCCCAGTTTTGCTGGTTCATATTTCCCGGTCGCCCTTGATGAGTTTTGGGTGTTGGCACCAATCATGGCATGTTCAATGGACGGTCCCATCTTTAGTTAACAGCATGTCAAGTTTTGGGTGTTCTTACCATCAAGCACCTTCCATTAATGGTTAATATCCCCAGTTTGGCTGGTTGGTTACCCACCTAGCCATCAATAATCAAAAATGGGATACCGACTCCAGCTATAGCTGGACTAACACTACTTACCCTACTTACAACTGGGGTTATACTTTATATAACACACTTAATTAACTATAGTAGCCGGGGTAATCCACCAAGAAAGTTTGACCCATCGTAGGTGGCTGACCCATCGCCTGTTTCGGTCCCGCATCGTAGGTGGGAAGCTCCAAGGGCTCCAGCAATGCGTGCGCACGGAGGTCCGAATGTCTGGCCGTTCGCCCGGGGCAGAAACGGGAATCCATGAAAGGGTGGGTTTTAACTTCTAAAAATGTCCAAAGTTAAACATGTATTGAAACATATTTAAACTATGGAATCCATGGAACTTGAGGGTTTCATCAAAGATGTGGATCCAATCCTTTGAAAAACATAGGAAAAACAGGATTTAGCTAGACTTGAAGACGTCGTTCTAAAAACGGAAATAGGGGATGCACCCAGTTGACTGTCTACTTCTATAGAGGAAACCGTCCTGATTGGAGCGGTTGTGAGCTCAAAATTATTGAGTTATGCCCACCTGATGCAAATGAATGACTGGTCACACATTAGTTATCATTACATACAGTATGGAGGTTTACTGAAATGGGGGTACCCCCAAATCATCCATTCCAATATGATTTTACAGCAAATAAACCATCCATTTGGGGTACCCCCATTTATGGAACCCCCCACATCATTACTGTATGTATATCTGAGTATATCTGTATATCATTTATGGTCGGGGCTTGGGCATCGAGCAACATTGGCAGCAACCACCCCTTCCCAACTGCCAAAACCACTGCTCCAGGCTCACTATGCTCACTGTTTCCCCTCTTATAACCATTTATATGTTCAATATTATCTTATTGTAGTCACCTGCTAGCAGATAGAATGATCCAGAATTGAACCAATGCAGGTAGAATATGTTAGGACAATACGCACCCCCACTTATAATATTCTGAAACATTAGCAGTTAGAATATTCCAAAGTTGAACCCCCTTGAGTACGTAGTGTTTCCAAAATCACATTGCCATGTTTGCAAATGCCACACTTCAAGAAGCAATGTTTTGTTGATATCTTCATTGTCGAATATTCTAAGTGCAAAACAAAACACACGGAGATTTTTCATATTGTGGAAACTTTCACCCGGGCCTCGAACGGAGCACTGGGGAGCTCAAGGATTTAAACCAACATATTCCCAAGTTTGGAGGTCTGTGGTTTCACCCGTGTAACCTGTCACAGTGTGCCTCATCCTTTTCTCTGGAGGCTGCCTTGGGTCCCAAGATATCCCGGCTGAGGTCCCTTCACCACCGCTGCTATAGAGCACTCAGTGGGCAGAGTCAAGACATCCCTATACAGGTAAACGACAAAGTCACTCCTAAGTCATGCCTTGACCCAACTTGCATATCAAAAATCCACCAAACACCATGGTACTATCCAGTCATCGGAAGTTGGTGATCAAAAAGAGCAATTTATTTTGAAGTCAGAGTTCGCTTGCATTTTAGGGTGGAGGCACGACTTTTACGTTGACCGTTTCCCAAGCTAATTCTGGTGATTCCCACAAACGAGGCACGACTTTATCAGTTGTCTGTATTGACCATCCATGACCCTAACAGACCAAGGTCCCGTCAATCTTCGCCGAGACACACTAAGAGATGAACACCTGAAATGCTGCACATGTGGGTGGAACTCTGGTTTCACTTGGCATTTCAACCCTTTCCTGGCGATCCATTCCCTGAAGATTTCAGCCACCATCAAGATTTGTGAATGGTCCAGTTGTGTCATTTTCAGGCTGCGGCAACAAAACGATACTTCTCTCCCTGGCAGTGGCACTGAGCATGGAAAAACCCTGGCCATCGTGGCCGCCACTGGAGACATCAACTGAACTTGGTTAAGGGCTTAGTGGCTTAGTTAATCATAGTTAATCAACTGATCAAAATGCCTGTCCATCAACTTGTGATTCATCTGCAACTGTGGGGCCTTACGGCCTTATGGCTTTGGTAAATGTTGTTCATTCTGCTACTAAACATCAGCAATCACCCCACATTCGTTGATGAATCCAAAGTCCATGCCTGAAACCACCCAAATTTCAATTATAATCATTATGCGGTATTTGGAACATTTACCTTGAGGAAATTGGAGGGTTTCAAGCATATTAATATTTTAAAAAAATCCAAGAAGTTCCTCTAAATCCTTCTATAAATCCATCATGTCTAGTTATGTGTAGTTCATCATTTCTTGTGTTTTGGTGACTTTCATCGCGTTCCCCGCGTTCCCCGCGTTTTTTTCCGCGGGGTCACCGAGCCACAGTCCCGAGCTTCGGCTGCTTGCTGGGCCAGGTCGCTGGCGGAGACACCCTGGAAGGGAGGGAAGTTATCCTTAGTGACTCAAAGTGACTCAAGGGCTTCAAGGCCTCTATGGATAGAAAATGATAGATGGATAATGATGGATAGATTCGATTGGAATATGAGGATGATATACTGTATGATGATATGATATTTTCATGGGTATATCATGGTATATAACTGGTTGGGGCCCCATCATCGCCCATGCAGTACAGTAAACCCATGTAAACCCCACAATAATCCTCCATAATTGGGACAACAAGGCCAGCCGACGGCTATGGATTATGGATTCTGTCTTCAAGTTTTGTGGGGTGACATCTCCCGATGTTTTCTCAAACCATTTTACCATCAACCGGCCAGGATCCGCAAGGTCTGTCTCTGCCCAGAATCGTCCAGACACTTCCTCAGTAACAGCCAGTCGTAGAGATGCTGGTGCACCTGCGCGATGAATGAGGTGATCATGTAGGGATATGTAGGGTATGCTGCCAAAACAAGGTCTGGTAAACCAACAAACTTCACAAAGCCAGCCGGCATCTCATCGGCCTCCGGCCGAGGTTGCACAGGCGGCTGGGATCCAGGCATTCCACCCGTAAAGAGAAGCCACGTCAGCACACCCAGGGAATACAAATCGGCTCGCTCGTCGTGTGGCATACCACCAAGCACCTGATGACAGATGGAGATGGTTTTTGTCGCACTCGCTCACTGAATATCACCGTCAGATAATGAAACTGCACGAATCTGCACGATATGATGGTAATGCCATGTAATTAATACATATAGCTTATGAAGGGAAATTTGGGATTCTTGGGATACCTTATTGCTATTTATTGCAAATAAAATCTAATAAACATGCTTTGCTGTTGTCTTTGAAACTATGGTAATACCCTCACTGGCTGTGCCACCTCTGGTGCACAGTAGCCCACGGTGCCGGCCGGATGGCCGAAGGAGTAATGGCCGGCCGAAGGGCCCACCTCCGATGGGACAGTGACATGATGTGACATGGTAAGAATCCAATGGGCCACTACGGTTGGTGTCCAAGTATAAATGTACAGATGTTCGATTACATGCAGATGCATATGTTTGATTATTTTTGTACATAGTTTGTTTTTTTCCTGTACATATCTTGCTGTAGTCATTTCAAGATTTGGAGTCGCAAACCATGGTGATCCCATGCTGGGAGTCCCCATTGGGTCAACTCAGCCACAACAATGGCCACAACGGCGCACCCGTCCAGAACCGAAGTCCGCCAACTTGGCACACTGGGCGCTGTCCAGAATCACGTTCCTAGGGATCAAGCCATTGTATAAATGGATTGGTTCAAGGGAAAATCGATAGAAATCCATGGTTTTTATCCCCAAATATAAAGGTGTCCCGTAAAATGTCCCCATCATTCCAAGTTGTGAATCTATTTTGCGGGGATTGAAGCCAATGAACATACGAATGATAATGGATGATATCAGCGACGTTTTGCCACTCGATGGGAAAACATAAGTATACCTATATTAGCAATCGTGATCAATGGATATCAATCGTACATATTCACTTGCTCCAGTGAAAGCTTCACCATATCCACCCCCAAAATCAGCTGCGATTTCGCAATGGGAGGACGTCAGCAGCACTTCCCAAAGCGCCGCTGAGACGCCCCGGCTTCAAATCCCGAAAAAGGACGTTCAAGCGCTTGTGCATGTGCTCTAAACCTTGGTGAAAACATGGTGAAACCAATTTTGTTTCAACCACTGGTGAAACGGTGAAACCCCAACCGGGTCCAGGTCCTAGGTCCGGTCAATTTATGAAGTTCCTGCCAAGCATTGCTAGTTAATGCCTTGGAGAAAAAAATATATATATATATATATACTTATATACTGTATATTTCAATTCAGAAGTTGTTCTTGTCCCAACTTTTGTGAAACGGAAGTGACCATTTCAAATACCAAAGATACTTGGTCATCCTGGTCTCCGCTCATCATGGTGAGTCAACCTCCAGCACCAGGGTCCCACTGGGATTGCGGAAGTTGAGACCAGGAACCTAGAAAGACTTGTCCAAGCCAATCGAGCGTTTGTGGCGGCGGCTTGTATGTCAGTCCCTTGGCCATATTTTGCAACGTCGCGCTGTGCACCCGTTGAAAAAGATTGCCTGGGCCAAGTGGATCCAGGTGGGCAGATGTAAAGGCCATGATTTGTGAACAAAAAAATCAACTAACCACCCAAGTGATGGCATGCTAGAGGTAAAGACATGTAAAAACCCACTTGTTTGTAGTATACCAGTGGATCAGTGGATCTCGAAGATTCGCCCAGGATGCTTGGGCAGAACTCCATCACCAGTGTGTATTGCCCCGAATCTTCATCAAAGGTCACCATGTACAGCCGCACAATGCCTCAGTCGTCCCGGGGTCCAAAGAGAAAACATGTAACCTGACAGGGACCTGACAGTACTGCAGAAGGGGCTGCGTACCATGTCAGGTGTACTGAACTGTGTATGTAGTGACTTGTTGTACATTGTGTATGCAGGATCTTTACCTTAAACTGCTTTCAACTAGTCAATTGTGCTATTTGAAATGAATATAAAACTCCGCTTCTGAAAAAGTATTTGTCTCAGAAATCACACAAAGACGTCGATCTGGCATGATCTGGCATCTATTAAATCTATATTAGATGATATATGGTCATATATAACTATTATGTAATATATATATATATCATATAATTATAATATATTACTATATGTATCTTGGAAAAAGGCTCCAGCCATGCCAGGTGTGCCCTTTCACCAAGGCACAGGGATGCGGTGTCTGATGTATCAAGGTTCCCACATCGCATTCTCGCGCCACTTCCGGGGATGCAGGCCGATCGCGGGGCGTCTTGAAGACCTTCACGGCGTACCTAATCCGATCTGCTGGGCACCCTTGGAATCTTGATGCGTGGATAATCTTGGAATATCTTGGAATATCTTGGATATGCAAATTTTGGGATGGGAAAAAAGATCATTCAGGGGTTGAAATTGGATCATCCTGGAACTGAGCAAGAGTTCCGTGTAGATCATAGCCATTCATAGGCCTCGAATGAGAGGAATGGAACGGAATGTAATGTCAACCCCGGATTAATAAACCATGGCTTATTAATTAGGGGGGTCCTCCTCCAATAGTCATAATATGTCATAGTATGATACTCAAATGGTACCCTCCCGATTAAACAATCTAGAGGTTTATTAATCCAGGGTTGACATTATCAGGGGATGCAAAACTGGATGACTTTCGAGCGGCAAGACATCTCTCCGTCGATGCTTGGCCCGAAAGACCTGGCCGTAGGCGCCCTCGCCAATCATGGCCTCAGCGCATGGCCCGTCTCCACCGATAAAAGCGCGGGAAAACAGAGGGTCTAAGGACTACCGCAGCAACGACAACAGGGATGATGATATTGAGTGATATTGATCATACAATTGTTGTATCATTGATAATTATTGATGAATTCTTCTGATCACAACAATTGCATACCACTCGACCGGAGAGTCAATATTGGTTTGTCTAAAATGTAGCAGAAAAAACAGCAATTCATCGTCATTTTCCCCAGTCAAATTTCCCAATCTGTGGACAAATCTGCCTTCGCTGGCACCGGGCATTCCCACCTGAGGTAACGCCACTTGATTTCCCATGCGATCAATGGGTACCAAATCGCTGAGCACTATTTCCTGGGACTTGGCAGTTGCATCGTTGGCTGTATGGCTGTGTGGCTTTTCTCTGGTCTCAAAAAGTTTTCGGGTGACCAAATCTACCATGATGATGATCTGCCACCTCTGACGGTTGACTCAGCAAGGTCCAGCTTCACCCTGGATGTTCCAAGTCTGAAAAACGTCCTGTTTGAACTTTGAACATCCATTGATCCTGCATCCAGATCATCCCATGGCAATCTATGCTACAAAAAATGGTACTATCTGAATCTCAACAGGATGCCATCCAACCATGGTCTCAAGAATTCGCCATCCATCCATCCCCCATCCATCCCCCCATCCGGCCCCAGTCCAGTCCTCTTCCTGCTCTTCCTGGTCTTGTTGCGTGGTCAAACACAGGCGTCCCAGCGCACCGCCACAGCTGGCGGCCACGTAGGAACAGATCCCGGGGGCCACCAGGTGCACGCGCTTCCGCGAGATGTGGAGCGGCACGGAGAGCCATACCTTGGGATGGGGAGTTAATAAAGGCCATGGTAGGGACTCCCATCATCACCCTGATATGTAACATCAACCAGTGTGTTATGTGATGTTCTATGGATTTCTGGTGATTGGAAATTGATATCATAATATCATCTATACCCAGCAATTCTGGGGCTTTAATGGTGGTTTACCCTGTAAAAATTGCATGATGTCGTCCCGAGATCATATTGAATACCCTGAATAAGGACCAAAAATCATAGATCCCATTGCATTCATCATTCAACAAGGCTTTTGTTGAACTTTCCCAAGTGGTTACAGGCACCTGTTGAGGATTGAGTTGTACCCATGGCTGGCGGCCAAAATGATTTCTATGGAAACGACGACAAGGGAACTAGTTCCATCCTGGGGTCTGACCTATCTGGTCTATCTGCAATTTCGTTTTTCTGGGTGAAGTGCGTATCGGATCTCTGTGCACCTTGTTTCTGGATGTATTTTAAAATTTTGGTATTCTAACATATTCATGAATATTCTGAGTAACAATTTGAGGGCCCCCCATTGTTGGTACCTTGAAGGGAAACCAACATCTTCCGGAATGAAAACTGCCAAGTGGGACTTGGCTTCGCCGAGCATCTTGGTTGATAGAGACCCGGGAAGTGCTCAAAACCGGTCGAAAAGAACCAACTTGCGACTCCTGCGGACGCAAAACACCAGAGGATTGGTTCACACTGTGCTCTTTCACCATGCGCATTGAGAAATTGCATCCTTGAGGGAAGAACAACAGACCAAGACAAGAAATATCCAGAATACTGTACCTCTTCCCAAACTGACTTCCACTGACCGGCTGGCTTAACAGCCCCTGGGTTGATGGAAAAAAATGCATTTTAGCAATAGCAAAAGCTGTCATTAAGAAGTCAATTATTTGTCCTGACTAGGGTTGCAAAGTCTTGCCCATAGAACAAGGACTTTCTGAGCTGTCAGAAAGCTTTCCGCGCCCAGTCCATCCTCCACGCCGCTGGTACCGGTACCAAACCACGATGACCCCGGGGTTAGCATCCGCTGCAGCCCCTGGCCCGCAGTGTCCAAAAAAAAACTCTGCATTGAAGAGATTCTACATCTGGAAAGTGATGTATCATGATGTTTCCATTTGGGTATGGGCTCAAATCATTGGGTTCCCTTAAAATTTCTTTAAATTCCTTAAAATGCTTTCAAATTCCTTCAAATTCCTTAAAACTCCTTCAAATTCCTTAAAACTCCTTTCAATTCTTTAAAGTTCCGTAAAATTTCTTTAAAATCCTTCAAATT